TGGTGTATCGCTTATGAACTAGACTTAACTGGACTTACAAAAACAATGCTTGATAAATTGTATAACATGCTGGTTCCATGACGGAAATATTTAAATCAAGATCGATCACGTCGACTTATATTTATCACATACGAAATCAGCCAGAACTGCTTCTAGACAAGTCATTTGTCACAGAAATACGGATTATCTTAACGGTAAGTTCAGATATGCTAACAGCAAAGAATAAATACACGCTGAAAAAAAATTCAGGAACATTAGACAAGCGCTAAGAACGAAGGTTTGACCAGTTAAGAAAGGATCAGAGTGTACCATGTCACCATATTTAGAAATCATATCGTTTAATCAAAGTATCATACACATAGGAATATAACGCGGTTTGTAACATAAAAAAATTGCGCGTGACCAATTTTACCATTACTAACATACCCGTTATATGACCTATTGAACTGTAAGGTTTGGAATTCATCAACATTCTTCCCACAGGTTTGTCTAAGGTAACAAACAACCGTACAGCAGATGTAAAGGCTTCCCTGCCATAAAATTAGGCTTTCGAAGTTTCGCAATGACATGATCTCACGACCATAACACTAATCTGTGTTAATGTTTTTCTTGATAAAATGTACTATCTAAAATTTCTTTCAATTTTGTCGATACCAATTGAAAAGACACCATGTTAAAATATTTTCCCGATTCCTGCTTCGGTTATAAATATTCAAATTGCTATTATTTCATCATCGCGTTTGCATCGTCTTCGTTTACATTCGGCCATCGGATAGATATTCTCTATCCTATCATTTAACTTCTTACTTTCCAGTTTCAATCAAAATGCAGCATAGTAAAAACTAAAAACTAAAATGTTCTCCATAAACGATAAAGTTCTTATGAAGGAATACAATTAACCTTTTACATCTATTTAGTCTTCAGGATGGGTTTGAAAAAACAACATTTTTCTTCATTTTCAAGAAATAACCAGCTTGAAATCCTAATTGGGAACAAAGACTGTTTATCCCAGCTCTCATATCAAAACAACATTATCCAAATAACGTCTATATCTGCAAACACAGTTGCCTAACGTGCTTGATACCAATGTTTTCAAGATGACGCCATACTAATTTCTCATTGTTCAGTGTGATAACGCTTTCGAAAACAGTCAATGGCAAAGCATGCTGACTTACTTTGTAAATAATTTGGTGACACAGCTTGCGAGTCTTCTTCGTTAATAAGTTAATGACAAAGCTTGCGTACCTACTTAGTAAATCACTTAATGACCAAAATTGTGGACTTACTTAGTATATATGTTAATGACAAAGCTTGTGGACTTACCTTTTAAATTAATGAATGACAAAGCTCGCGGACCTACATAGTGAATTATATCATCAACATCGTATGATTGGATTTGTTATTTTTCTCATCCAAAAACGAGTACCATATACATCATACCTTCTCAAAATTGTTGAATAAGCAACTTGACCTTATTATAAGTTAATGCCAATTAATGCAGTTAGGGAATATGACTCTTGTAAAATGTATGCATTCATAGTTAAAAGTATGACTTTTGTAACTGTTTCGGATGTTATCTCTTATAACAATAGAACATGATTGACCTGTGTAAATGTTTACCGTTAGTGGCAATGATTGTGTGATTTATTTTTAGATATCAGTTTTTACATTTGTAAAAGATATCTGATGTCTTAATGATAAGTGGATATCAACTTGTGTTATTTTCCTAAGTGCGTGAACACTTTGTTACAACTTAATAACTGAATTTCCCAATGTGACTTTTCCATTTCTAGATAACAACCTTCCTGCATCTCCAACCTATGTTGTTAACGTGTCGCAGTCAATTCGATATTTAAGGATTCAAGGGCGTGTTCCCGTTTGAAAAAATATTCTATTTCTTTGAGGGATATGAAACTGGACGTGTTTGAAGCTCGTTAGTTTGCCTGTTGGTTCCGTTGTTGTATACCTTGTTTTCATTTTGAACTTGACATTACTAGCTTCGAAAGACCAAAGTTTACATGGCGGGTGTCGTCGATGAAGCAGAAGACGCTTACTCTTCCGGAACTCCTGGTCTCATTCTCCTTGTACTTTTTCAGGAGTCTCCGTGTAAAGCTTTCTTTAGTTCACGTTTTGCCCTAGTTTTATTGACGTTAGGTTTGGATTATGATTATGTTGACGTGTTGGTATTTTCTTGTTGTTCTTATCGAAATGTAAAATAATACATATATCATATAGTAACTATATATGTATATGGTTAACTTGTGGTAACTTTAATTGTGTACATTGTACAGATAGTGTAGTTACATATGTTAGTTTTATTTCCTTACTCTCTAGCAACTTATAGTTTGAAGCAGTTTTAGTTTTAGATTTAATTCAAGTTAAATGTCACGAAAGTTTTGCAGGACACAGGCGTTCGGGAAAACACTGGTTAAAGAGTAATCCATTAAATAAAAGATAATGGCGTATTTCTAAATCATAAAGAAGGCTACGAAAATGTATGATATCTTGATTAAAATGTTTGTAAAGACCTGCAGCGTATGTTGGTGACATTCAGAACATGACAATTTTCGCTTGAAAACGAGTCACTTGGAAGTCATATGTAATGCATAATATCAATCAACAACCAGAAATACTTTTACAGTGCGACACGTTAATAGAAATGAGTCTTACAGAAACAGAAAAAAAAATCCATAAAATGGGATTTTCACACATGCGTAATCATGAAATCGTGACAAAAATGAGCACGTACCAATGTATGAATCACAACCTCAGAATCTAATGCACGTAACAGTCCAGTGTTTGATAAACACTATACATGTCAAGCCGCACACGTGCATAGATGAGATAGCAGATAAATGGATAGAGTACTAGTACATACCAGTGTAACAGGTATGCACATGATTACTTATGTTACACATCTGCAATAGTACCTGTTGCTAATTTCCATTCGTATGGCATTACTAATACATAACTATATATCACGTGTTATGAACACGCGTGCAATGTAAACAATACATCTCGGACAAAATTAATAAAGTTGTCATCTTGTAAAATATCAGTTTACTCGATACCTTCTTGTTTCTATGTTTCACGACAGATCGTATACGACACATCGTACACAGTAAACCATACCAAGTCCGTACACAGCAGACCGTACTCAACAGTCCGTACACGACAGATCATACACGACAGACCGTTCACGACCAATCGTACACAACACATCGTACACAGTAAACTATACAAGGTCCGAACTCAGCAGACGGTACTCAACACACCGTACACGACAGACACTACACTGCACACCGTACTCAACAGACCGTACACGACAGACACTACACAGCACACATTACTCAACAGACCGTACACGACAGACCATGCACAGCAGACCGTACTCAACAGACCGTACACGACAGACGGTACTCAACAGATCGTACACGACAGACCGTTCATGACTGATCGTATACAGACCGTACATAGCCGACGGTACTCAACAGACCGTACAAGACAGACACTACACAGCAGACGGTACTCAACAGATGGTACTCAACATACCGTACACAGCAGACGGTACTCAACAGACCGTACACAACAGACCTTACACAGCAGACGGTACTCAACAGACCGTACATAACAGACCGTACACGCCAGACCGTTCACAGCAGACAGTACTCAACAGACCGTACACGACAGACCGTTCACAGCAGACTGTACTCAACAGACCGTACACGACAGACCGTTCACAGCAGACTGTACTCAACAGACCGTACACGACAGACCGTTCATGGGCGATCGTACGGAGACCGTACATAACAGACTGCTAAAAACAATCAGCTTTTGAGATTCATAGCTTGTTATTTGCAGTACAAAATTCTAGGGAATCCTGAAATCATTTTAATGAACTTTATTTGTAAAGCGTGTCTGAAGAAAGAGTAATTATTTATCAACAGAGTTCAAACATTTGTGCTTCCAATACTTAGCGTTTTTGTTTACATGTTATTTCGTCTGTAGACATCTACAAGCAGTTTAAGTGACAAATCATATTGGGCAGAAATGCTTCTGATGAAAATATCATGTGGCACCTTTGATAGACAACAAATCAACCAGTGACAGATTGGTTCTATTGTTAATGTAATGTTACTCGTCCTAAATCTGATAAACCACCAAAGATTAATTACAACGATACATAGTAAGTGCTTCGCTTAAACTGTCGATATATGTAACGCAATTTGCATTACGTTTATGAAAGCGATTTTCTTCATATGTTCGGTTTTCTATTTACAGGAGAGGAAAACTTACAATTTAGAGATCGGTAATATATTAGGTAAGTTTCAAGGTTCTGGTTTTACTTGTCGCCAAACGTCACTTGTTTTATTGCTATTCTGTTGTTAAACTATTTGAAAAGTCATTAGCAGAGGGTATCTGCCTGTTATATAAACTATTTGTTATCGTCCTCAGTCTTCGGATCCCGTAAATTGGAAACGTTACGTTATTTACCCGAACTTGTACTTTAAAATATTACGAAATATATCACATACACATGATACACGTATACAGCGATTTATTTCTTATGTCTACATGAAAACTGTGCTTTTCAGCAAAGCTCCAAAAGAAATAGGACGTATCTGCGCAACTAATTGGATAAAAAATAGTGTAGTTAGGGCCAACTATTGTCAGAAATATTCGTTCAGAATCCGAAAATTATTCCTATGTTAAATGAAGCGTCTGATTTGGCATGCGCTATTTTTTGTGCCATTTCAGATGGTTTCTCTGCGGCTGTTCTCAACATTCATTCCGCGCCTTTTAATATCTCGACACCACTCTTGGTCGTTGTACAGGCAGTGTAACGGCGGTTATTCCATTCTTAAAAAGTCCATCCTGTCCTGGTGCACACTGCTACATACACCCGTCTATCCAGTTGGTAGTACGACCTAGTCGCGGTACGGAGCAGTACACATTGCTATAAAGGATTCCCAAGCGAGTGATGCTGTGATCATCCATTACTAGCAGTATAGAATCTCAATCGTTTGGAAGTCTTATACTATATTGCTGCCTCTGCTGCTTAAGTTACCGCAGCTGAATTCTCGCGCCAAATCTGCAGTCATTCTCCTCACATCACCAGCGTTGTCCCATACACAAACCAGTTCAAAATCTGGCTTGTAAAATTTGCTTTTCTATATAATTGTTCTTCACCACGAAGAAAAAAAGAACTGATTGTATAACAGAAAGTGTTATTTTTTACTATGTACAACCGAAGATAGGAGTTCAAAAGAGGACAATTTGATTTTGGATTAAGACAACAATTTAAAAGCAAAACATTGAACACAGGAATATTAATATGGAGGAAACGCCTAAGCCAAAATTGATCATCTTTGATCTAGGTGAGTAGTACAATTTTACTTACCTGTTTTTAGAATAAGTGTCTCGTAGTTCAAATTCAGAAAAAAAGAATGATAACAAAAAAACAAATTACATCAATATGAAACAAAAAAGATAATTTGTTAAATCGCCATTCGGGATTCGATTACAATTTTATCTTAGATATGTTGCAGTGTGTTTATTTGTGTGAGACATTTTATCGTAGACGCATGTACGAAGTCTAGTGCTGTCGTATACAAGGTATTACAGCCACATTTAATGACGTCGTCCCACGCGCCAGCCCTAACAGCAAATCTTTTGATAATGTCTGAACTTATGTTTGATGATATATGTTCGTTTATCTCTTGGGTGAATTCAAATGTGAGCAATGATCAAACATTCATGTTTCACAGGTCGAAATAAATATGAATACTAGTACGAATCTTGTGGGAAAGATCTGGCACAAACCCTAAATGATATCCGTTTGCAGTAAGACTTCGCCGAGACGATTGACAAAATAGAAACAGTTCCGCTTTCATATATATGATCGTTATGTATAAAGTCAGATCTCCTTTTTACTTATTTTTGACTCAGCCCAGTATATATGCTGTTCAGTAGATTCACAGTTAAAATGTTTCTGAACGTGAATAGTATTTTCTTGTAGTTGATATTCATCACAAATGACGTTCCTGCGTTTTAAGCCGGTGTGTGAGCGTGGGTCTGATATTAAAGCTAATGATTAACAATGATACCAAGGCTAAACGTTTACATTTTGTGAAATAAAAGTAATTCATAGTGGAATGTTTGCATATTGAGTAATGAATATGTTCAGCGAAAAATCATTTACGAAATATGTCTTATAGAACTTATGCCAGTGACAGTTAATGTGTTGCGACAATGCTGACAATGCAGTGTATAACATGTTCCCTTTACAAACGCTGTTGCACGAGACCTATGTTTATATCCGTAAGGGCGATTTTATTATGCTGTTGCATTCGATGTTTTTCTTTCACGTGACATACCTCTAAAAGGTACGTAACTTTACAAACGACGACCGATTCGGGATCGTGGGTTAATTCCATTCCTTTACTATATCACGTGTTTTTGTCCTTTCTTTTTTTTTTTATCGTCGACTGCTTAACAAGGATAATGTATTTACTGCGGTTGTTAATCTGCTATCTTTTAACGGTACCTAGATAGTCGCCGATATGTTAGTTCTTTCCGAAAAAAATTCTCTCCAATGACAAACAACTATACGAGGAACCAAAAGTGGGCCTATGGATGGTAGCGCTGGGATGAGGTGGGAACATTGAATTCCTTAGGTCCATCCTACTGAAGAATGTTTAGACAACACAAAGAGGGGCGCATCTGCTATGGAGATTACTTCATTCAGAAGGAGAAGAAAATATCACAATTAAGCAAAGACTCAGTGTAGATTGTTGTACATTCCGGTTGAGATTAGCTCAGTGTGACATTACATAACCGTTTTCTCCGTTTGTGAGATAAAAAAGAAGCATTGCAGAGAACCAATTAAAAGTGGCTAATTAGTTAATTAGCTTTATCAAATAGTCTTCCAGAAACATTGGTTATGATATTTTTCACCTGAAAGGTGTACCTGCGGTCTATTTTGCAATCAATCTTGTTATGTATGTAATGCTGCTCCGAATTCGTCCATGACCCGTAAGTTTCTGTCTAGTTTAAACTTAGTGTAGATAAACTTAGATATTTATTGTCTACAGCTAAACAAAGAATGTCATCGTGATGTCATTTTTTTTATTTTGATCGTAGTAATTTTATAATTTGCTCTTTGAATAAACCATCAATATTTAAAATCGCGGCTAGTCAAGGCACCTGCAAGTTCAGCCTTTTCTTCGACTGACTCCATACATCATAAGAAACGTCCTATATTGACTTTAAACCAAAACAAAGGAGGGTGTCGATTAATTTGTCGAAATCCCGACAAAGAGTTCAGTGGCACTCATATAATGAAAAGTTCACCCAGGAATGTGAAGTTTGATCATTCTGTATGCTGTCAGTTTTTGACGTACAATTCTGATATGATTTATTTCCGCATGCAAGCAATACAAAACAAATTACAAGGAATGAAATGTGTTGCAGCACGAAATTTGTATATGTTAGTAATCAAAGAAAACGTGTAGTGTACTCCCGTGTCCGCTAATTAATCAGACATACTTACACTCAATGTCTAAACTCTAGGCTGCAGTCAAGCTGCTATCTCTTGTAATCTGTGTTATCGACAGCTGTTGCCCGGTGCGTTTGAGTCCTGTATTCTCCCTATCGTAGTCCTTGATTGGCCACGATTTTGGTATCGCAGACTCGTGTCCTCGTCCGGATACATGAATAATTCCGTTTTTCTTGTTATCTTACAAAATCTGGTAAAACGTTTTCACATTATCAATAGAGCTTGGCAATACGTGCTTATACCAAAAATGCTTATCAGAAAACAACTTTTATATATATTTGATTTAGCTTTAAACTGTACATACAACAAAACGTTTGATAACTGTATGCGTGCATTTAAAACACACTTCATTAGGAAGTGTCCGATACTTGAAGCAACATTCGTACAGATTAGCATAAATTTGTGTTTAATTTCGAACTATGTCAATAGAGATACCGAATGTATTTACTTTAAAGTTAATTCAACTGGATTTACACAGAATTCCTTTTTAATTTATATACGAATTCACCTAAATATAGACCATTTGTAGTTATACGAGTATAATCGCAAACTATTTCCGTTTGAAATGAACACTTGTTTCCTTTCATTATCATCTCGTTTCAGGAGGGTACGGTCTATTTCCAAGAGCAGTTTCTATTGGCTAATACATTTGCATATATCATTTTCTCATCCACTAAAAGTCCGGTACCTGGTTGGTCCATTTGTTGCTTCCTGTGTTACTAACAGACAAAACTATTTCATTCATCATTGCTACCAGACGAGTTGCAGCCGCGTTAAAAGCCTGCGGGATGTTAATACATCTGTGGAGCCATAATCAACCATGTGTTCTAAATTTATAAATTGTCTGTCGGTATTTATTTCAAGTTAATTGCTAACTCTGTCTGGTTTTTTACAGTATAGTTTACACGATATCAATATATTTTGCAGGGCATTATATATATTTCCTATCCATTTATTGGATATTATTCACCAAACTTTCTTTAGATTGCTGTACAAGGTGGGCTCTTGTATTACTATGTATTACAACAATATATGCATCCTTATTTGATATACTTTCAAATTGACATGATAAACACAAAGATCATTGGCTAATACTTGAACTAACAATTTGAAATCAAGATTTCATAATTGCTAGGACGCAAGCAAGAATATATCTGCAAATTTCAACGCACGGGCACGTGTACAGGTATAGTACGATATCGGACATGGTGCGCGCTTTTCGTGACGTCATATCACAGGTAGACTGTAGATGTATAGTTATTCTATGATTCGCTGTGTAGTCTCAATATGACGTGTCCGGGTTTATATTGAATACCGACCTCAAGGATTTTCCGACCTCGTTTTGGCAACGATGTAGACATGTTTACAAAGAGTATTTTTTTTATATTGATACAAGTACCAATTCATGATAGCGTATTCTTCAAATATTTTTTTTTCATAATATCGATAAATAATCAAATTTTATCTGCGAATGTTTGGTGTAAGTTGCGTATCTTGGGACTTTAACATAGGGGTCCATTTAAACAAACTTACTATCGGAATATATTGCTGCGGCTATCATTCAGAAGGCTTTAATATTGGGACACAGTTAAACTCCCTTACTATCGAAAACGACTCGTGTAGCTATCATTTTAAAGGTTTTAACATAAGGATAAATTTGAACACCCTTACTATCGAAATCTATCGCTGCAGCTATCATTTTAAAGGATTTAACATAAGGACACATTTGAACACCCTAACTATCGGAAACTACCCCTGCAGCTATCATTTTAAAGGATTTAACATAAGGACACATTTGAACACCCTAACTATCAGAAACTACCCCTGCAACTATCATTTTAAAGGATTTAACATAAGGACACATTTAAACTCCCTTACTATCATAAACTCCTGCGCCTAGCATTTCAACGCAAAGTTGTACGATATCAGGATTTCTGTTTATTATAAATTTCCCACGTTGAACTGAATATCAACTCGAAGGAAGACGCATTTGATATTTATCGCAGATAAACCTTTATGAATGTGAAAAGCGATTATTTAAGACTAGATATTTACAATATAACGGCAAACATTCCTTAAAAAACATTTAATATGTTGACTTCACATTGAACTTACTGAAGGCTAGGTGGTCGGTTTAATATGTCAGATGATAGATAGGAGCATTCCTAGAGATATTGGATACGGAGGCACACAGCTAATAAATATTCCAGTATATCGCTAACCTTGAGACATACACATCATTTCATATGCTATATTAAACTCAAAACAGCTTGACGAAAACAAGATTAAACGATAGATGTTTTATGTACATAATCTCTGTCCGGTCCGTTTTCTAAGTCTACATCTACTAATAAAACAAGATTAAACGATATATGTTTTTATGTACATATATTTTATCCGGTTCGTTGTAAATATATCTACATATGATTATAAAATGAGACTTCTATCAATCAATAATTTTATGGAGACGAACACGTGATCAAAAAGCTTTGAAACATAATCTCATACAAAGCCAGTTGGAATTAAGTTGTTTGTAGTTACATATGTATTTCTGTATATATTTATATATATAATTAGAGCTTTCTATTCGATGTGCATCTTAAAATGAAAGGACTGATTAACCACCAGTCGTATGTATAATCTGTTGTGGTGATGTTTCATACTACCGTGTCAGGATTATTCTATTTCAGTGTTATGACAACATAAAAGCGCATTTCATCATTTTCGCCCATTGTCAGTATAACGTGATATCGTCGAGTGTCACGATATTACGTCCAAAGTTACCTATTCTAGATAATGCCATTTCAAGTAAGTAATGTC